GTTTTCTTGGTACCCTCTTGAGGTCTTCTTGGGGTCTCTTGGGAGTCAGTTGGGGATCGCGAGAAAGAGGAGGAGGAAGAGAAGGAGGATGAGGAGGAGCACGAACACGAGCACGAGTACGAGCACGAGGACGGGGAGGAAGGGTTGGAGGAGGAGGAGGAGGTGGAGGAGGAGGACGTTATCTGAAGTGCGAGACTTGAGCTCGAATCGATTCGCGGAGTTGTGCAATGCCGTTTACGAGAACGATGATTTCAGGTATGCTATCACAGCGTCTAAAACCAATCATGAAGGGATGCAGTTGTTCATTGAGCGCAGCGCCAAGCTAGGCACCAGAACGAGCGACGAGGTATCCGTGATGTCGCAGATTAACTACACAAAAACTTAGTTTTTGGTATCAGTCATCAGCAGCAACATGTCTCACGAGGGAGTCAACAGCATGAGATAACATGTTCGGGCAGTACTGCATCGCCAAGCGAACGCCTTGGAGCATGCTGCCGAGATCGCCGAGTCCATACAGCCTGCTGGAAATACCCGGGCCGGAGGAGGTGGAAGCACACCCGTATGCGAATACAAGGCGGTTCAACACTCAAAAAGCGTTCTCGGGCGACCAGATTCAGGGAATGTTGCGACATTTGAACACCAAATTCGAAATCATGGATTCGGCGTTACCAGACGATGGCGAGGATGACCTCGTAACGATCATGAGCGGGAAATTAATGCTACGCGAATCCACTGAGGCGTCGCATATCAAGGGACAAGAAGTTGACGCAGAAGGGGAATCTCAATTAGCTGTTGACGGCTTCGCCAAATTGGGCGAGGACATTTGGTATTTGCTGAATGACAAGCTGGATGGGGCGGGCCCCGCGGCAAGCTTAGGGCCTGCATGAAGGCGACGGCCAAATGGCATACTATAGTATATACAAGTCGTACTCCGCCGTTAAGTGAGTCACGCTCAACAGAAGATGGACCTGGCCATGTTGCCCCCCCCCCCCCGAACCAAGAAGGTGAACGATGTGGCGACCCAGTTCGAACAATGGAGAGCGTTGGTAGAGTCCGTGGACAAGTGCGAGTTGGCATGTTCATTGCCCTTGCCATGCAAGGGTACTACATTGAGGATTCTCATGTCTCATGCTTTTGAAGGGTTTGATGACTAGCAACAGGACTGCTCCAAGACGCAGTAACAGCTACATTTTGGCATCTGCCAAGAAGTCTTTGTCAAGTGCGAAGATTGGGCAAGGAAGAAGAAGGTTGGGCGCCGACGCCAAAAGCAACCATTCAATGGAGATCGGCCATGCTAATGATGAAGATATAGGTGGCTGGGGCACAGGCGAAATCGATGCGATCACAAATTGCCGCCACCTCCAAAATCGGGAAACATCTACGATCCGATGTGGTGCAGTTTTGCTCAGGTGGAAAACCCGCAGCCCCCATCCCGCCGCCGGCGCCAACAGGGCTGCTCCGCCTCTTTCTTCAGGGCCGAAACAGAAATCATTACAGCAAGCGCGATTATGGTGTATGCAATTTCAGTTATTAAGAAGGTGATCGTTCTACACCGCCACTAAGAAGTGCTGAGGAGGAGGAGGAGGAGACGGAGGAGGAGAGGAGGAGGAGGAGGAGGAGGAGGAGGAGGAGGAGGAGGAGGGAGATACGAGGAGGAGGATACGGAGGAGGAGGAGGAGGAGGAGGTGGAGGAGGAGGAGGAGGAGGAGGAGGTGGAGGAGGAGGAGGATGATGATGATGAGGCGGAGGAGGAGGATCGAGTTGGAGGGGAAGGGGAGGATGAGGGGGATGAGGAGGAGGAGGAGGACGAGGGGGAGGAGGGAGAGGAGGAGGAGGATGAGGAGAACGATGAGGCCGGAGGAGGAGGCGGAGGAGCAGGAGGAGCATGAGGAGTAGGAGGAGGCGGGCGAGGAGGAGGAGAAGGAGGAGGAAGAGGATGAGGAGGAGGAGGACGAGGAGGAGGAGGAGGCCAACGAGGAACAGGAGGAACAGGAGGAAGAGGAGGAGGAGGACGAGGATATGGCGGAGGAGGAGGAGGAGGGGGAGGAGGAGGAGGAGGAGGAGGGGGAAACGGAGGAGGAAGAGGAGGAGGAGGAAGAGGAGGAAAAGGACGAGGAAGAGGAGGAAGAGGAGGAGGATGAGGAGGAAGAGGAGGAGGAATGTTCAGACAAACGCTAATCAAAATACGAGTGATAATGTTGCAAGCGTTGGTAATGCTAATAAGAAGAGTAGTCATACTACTAAGCATTTAACTTTGTATGTTAAGGGTAACAAGAATAACGTTATTACTCGTAGCAGCGAGACGTATGCAAAGAAGAAACATCCGACTATTCTTGCGAAGCTGATGAACGGTATTCGTAGCACGAATCATAATCACACAACTCACATGAATACAAAGAAGATGACGAGTACTGTCACACCTACTGCCACTCGTACTAATCTGAGCAATAATTCGCATGCGAAGAAGAAGGTGACTACTACGGGCAAGCACATTAATACGACCAACAAGAATACTAAGAAGACGACGAAGGCGCTCACGAACAATAGTCGTAATGGGAAGACTATCACGGACTAAGAAGGCGACGGAGGCGAACACGACAACTAAGAGCAACAAGATGACTACGACTAGCGTTGATCATAGTACTGAGTATACTGCTAATATTCGTCAACATATGGACAGGAAGAAGGCGACTAATAATGAGACGAAGCATGGTCACGCACAAATAGTAATGAATACTAAGACTAGTAAGAATACGGCGAAGAATCGTACGGATGGTACTGCAAGGCAGAAGACACACCAACACGATGAATACTATTACAAATATACGAAGCATAAGCAGAACAAGGGGACTAATCATAACTTGCTGCGAATTATAGGAATACCAATGCGAACAATAATTTCACGACGAATTCAAATGCTAATCTGCTAACAGTGGCTATACTAACATGGAGAAACACACTACTAATACTAACCGTAGATCGAACAATGATGGGACGAATGGTAGGAATAACCCGAGGAATCAAAATGATAATAAACATATGAAGAGTCATAAAACGACGACACATAATAGATACATAATCGTATCACCGCCCACAAGATGATTACAACCAAGGAATAACCGTACTACTGACAGGAATAGACAATACTTCCACTAGTGATGATAATAATAACAACACTAGCAATGCTAATACTAATACTCATGATAATAATAGATAGCGCTAGTACCACTACTAATACGAATACTGATACTAATACTAGGAGGAGGAGGAAAAGGAGGTCTAGAAAGAGGGGGAGGCAGAGGAGGAGCAGGCGGAAAAGGAGGATGAGGAGGAAAGGTAGGAGGAGTAAAAGGAGGAGGAGGCTTGTCACGGATGTACCCTTAGGCCGTGGGCCGGGCTCACACACATCAGCCCCTAGGGGAGCGGGGTCTGGCCGATGCGAGAAACCTGCCATGCTGCCTAAAGCGGGGGCGGAGAACAGTAATGATATTGAGGTGCTTAGTGAGGAGCACCGGTCGATGCTCCACCTCTCTATCGCCTTCTCTGTCCACCGCCCCCTCCTCATCCTACGCCCTCTGGTGATCTGGTCAAATCCGGGCTCCTGCAGGGTGGCATCCCAAGTCGGGGAAGCGAACTTGCCTCCGCAGCGGTCCGCGCACACACTGAATCTGTAGCCGTGCATTGCCCAGCGGTTCCCCTCAGGGGAGCAATCGGACCCCTAATGAGTCCGCGCGCCTCCCTGCCGCTGAATTTGAGCTCCAGGTACGGCCAAAACAGCCTCAGTGCACCGGTAAGCTGCCCAGCTCACCGGTGTTCTCTCCAGGCACGGCCGGGAGCCACCCGTTGGGAAAGCCCGACATCATGACGGGCGAGATGCAAGCACGACAGCGCGACTCATGAGGGGTACAGTCCCCAGCATGAGGGGTCAACGCATGAGAGGTGCAAGCCCCAGCGTGAAGGGTCAACGCACGAGGTAAGGGGGACCAACTCCCCAGCATGAGTGGTCACCTTTCTGTACCCCTTTGGCGTGGCTGGGGGATGGCATTTGTCCCAGCCCGCGCTCGGACTCCACCCTTCTCTAACCCCCTCTGGCGTGGCTGGGGAATGGAATTCGCCCCAGCCACGCTCGGATTTAGGGTATACAATTGTCTACGCATGTTGCTGCGTATCGCACAAAGCTGCTATCCCTCTCAGTGGGATTGTTGATGCCGTAGGTGCTGTCCCACTTTTTTGGGGATTGTTAGCCTAGCATGTGCTGTCTACCGCTGCCTGTTGCTACCCAGATCCCAGGGGTATTCCGTGACACCCAAAGCGGGCGGACAAATCATGCCCCCCCTCGGGATCACGAGGCTCCGAACCTGGATGATACGACGCTGGGGAAAATCTATCCCTCTCTTGCTACGGCTTCTACCCCAAGGGTATTCAGTGACACCCAGAGCGGGCGGACAAATCATGCCCCCCCCCCCTCGGGATCACGAGGCACCGATCCTGGATGATACGAAACTGGGGAAATTGTATCCCTCTCTTGCTGCGGCTTCTAGTACTATTCGGACCCCTGGCGGGATCGGTAAGGGGGTAGGGAGGAGAGAGGGTGGACGAGAATGTTCGAGATTCCGGTGCAAACTATCGTGTCGATTAGTCTCTCTGCGTGTGCGTGTGAAACAAGGATGCCGCCCCACACACTCCGCACAAGGACATATCTACAGAACATCGTCTATAGGAACTAGCTTTTCCAGTACCTGAGCGTCCCCTCTCTTGTGTGACGGGTGCTTGCCGTTTCGAATTCTGTTTAAATTCTCTCTCGTGTGAGCGCTGGCCGGGCGTGTGTTGCAACGCTTGCTGAGGTTGAAGCGGAGGAGGAGGGGGGAGGAGGACGAGGAGGAGGAGGAGAAGGAGTCTAAGAGGAGGAGGAGGAGGAGGAAAAAGAGGAGGCGGAGGAGGAGGCGAATGAGGAGGAGGGGGAGGAGGAGGACAACGAGGAAGAGGAGGAGGAAGAGAAGGAGGAGGAGGATCAAACAGACTAAACTTACGTATAATAACAACCGTGCGAATACTAACGATCATAATATTAATCTGCTGCGGCTAAACAGATAAAGTAATATAATTCAGACGAATGCGAGAACAGTACTAATAGGAGTAACACAACGAATGCAACGAATATACATCCCAATAAAAATGGGAACCACGACGACTGGTACTATTCCAAAGATACGAAGAACACGAATACCAATACTAAGACGACACACTAATAAGAGTAATACCAGTACTAGTGCACATCAGAAGAATAATCCAAACAAGACGACAGGACGAATACGATCAATCACAATCGTACGACGGATATTACGACACATAATGATAATACGGATAATAAAATTTCTAAAACATAAATGAAAAAGACGACGAACACGAATACGAACAATAAGACTAACAAGAGGAATGCGACTAGTATATTAGTTGTACTACGACTACTAATAATAAAGACTGTAGTAGGGAGAAGAAGACTATTAATGAAACGAGGCATCATACGAATATTCAGCATAGGGTTGGTAATATTATTATTCGGAAGAAGAGAACATGTTAGCAATACGGATAATCTGTATGGGCTTCGCCCCCTGCCGCCGGCCCCCTCTCTATCATAATGGGATACATCAGAGCTATGTTGGGATGTTCGGGCGCCGTCTTGATATGACATTCGGGAACGTCTAGGGCGGCTGGCGATGAGCAAAACCGATTGAGATGTTGAAGTTGTTGTTGAACGTTGTGTTGCCTTCTTTGCGTTTTCCCCCAGTTGTTCACTGGCAGCGCTCTGGGAACGGCTGGGGATTGCTTCAGGCAATCTCTGGAAAGGTTATTTTTTCTGCTCTGGAGAAGGAGTGGCGCCTTTGGGCAGCTTCCGCGAGGTGGATTCGTAGCGTGGGGGGTGCGCGCGAATTTGGTGTAATTTGCAGGGGATCGTGGCCTCGGGGACGCGAACGTGGCGTAATTTACGGGGGATTGTGGTCTGGGGGGCGCGACAGCGGCGTAATTTACAAGGGATCGTTGCCTCGGGGGCGCGAGTGTGGCGTAATTCACGCGGGATCGTTGCCTCGGGGGCGCAAGTGTGGCGTAAGTTACGAGGGATCGTGGCCTGGGGGGGTGAATGTGGAACCCACCGCCGAATTTTCCAGAAACGGGGGGGGGGCAAACAAATACCAGCGGAGCACATATCACAATACAGAAACTTACAGTTTTTATGCTTTGGAGAGGGGGAAGGCCTTTTCGGCAGCCTCCGCAAGGCGGATTCGTGGCCTCGGGGGCGCACCCGCTGCGTAATTTACTAGGGATCGTGGCGTCAGGGGCGCGAATTTGCTTTAATTTGCACGAGATCGTGGCCTCGGGGGCGCGACAACTATATACATTACATGGGATCGTGGCTTCGGGGGCGCGAATGTGGTGTAAATTACAAGGGATCGTGGCCTCGAGGGCGCGAATGTGGAGTCATTTACTAAGGATCGTGACCTCGGAGACGCAAGTGTGGCGTAAATTACGGGGGATCGTGGCCTCGGAGAACCGAGCGTGGTGTAATTTAATGAAGGATCGTGGCCTCGCGGGCGCGAACACAGCGTAATTTGCGGGGGATTATGTCTTGGGGGGCACGAGACTCTTGTATTTTTACGTGTCCCACGCCCCCCTCAGAAATTCTGAGAACCATCCCGGGGGACGCTAACCAGGGTGGTTTTCGGCTCCCCCCCCCCTCGCGCGGACAGTAACAGTTTACAGTAGGAAGCAGAAACCAGTACTGTAACAATGGGGACTGGAAACTGGAACTGGTGCAGGGAGCAGCAACCTTACGCCTCGCAGCCTGATGGCCCCGCAAAGGGGGCCAGCGGATACTAGGAATCCGTGACATACGATTATAGCAATATTTCTATTGCTACTTCTAGTAAGAATACTATTACTACTGGGAAAAATGAGGATGATGAGGAGGAAAAGGAGAAGGAGGAACAGGAGGAGGAGTAGGAGGAGGAGGAGGAGGAGGAGGAGGAGGAGGAGGACGAGGAACAGCAGCAGCAGCAGGAGGAGGGGGAGGAACGGAGGACATGGAGGGGGAGGATAGGTGGGAGAAGGAGGAGGAGGGGCAGGGATGGATGGGAAGGAGGTGGAGAAGGGGGGGCGTCACCGCGCTGTCAACATGGTCACAGTCGTCGTCGTCGCCGCCGCCGCCGCCGCTGCCGCCGCCTCCGCCGCTGTCGTCGTCGTCGTCGTCGTCGTCGTCGAGGGTCGAGGATCGAGATTAGCGGTCTGAAGCTTTCGGGTTGCTGTGGGGGTCCTGTGGCGCTCTAGTCGTCTCAAGGTTGGAACCTGTTTGAAATTCTAGCTGGAACGCATCCCAGGAAAAGTCAGGGGTGTAGTCGTCCGTCGCAGTCATCGTCGTCGTCGCCGTCGGGCGACGTCCATGGATGTCGACGCAAGGTGGTCACGCTAGACACCTCCTTCTGGCAGCTGAAGCTGGACGATCCGGTGATTCACCGCCAGGGCAACTGTCCATGCCAGCCACTTCCAGAGCCGTGCCCCTGGCCCTCGAGGGCTCATGGATAGCAGCCCGCTCCTGCGGGCGGGCGAGTGCAGGCCGTTCGCAAGTAAGCATTTCTGCGTTCCATATCCCATTCTGCTTGAAGCGCCTTCCTACTTCAATGATCCATTGCTTCTTACTACTCTCAGTCGCCAATCACTCGAGCGGGCCGAAACCCAATCTGCTTCGCTTGCCCCTCTTCCTGACTGCTTGCTGCTCTTACCCTCCCCTTCCGAGCGGCCTGCATATCCACATCCCCAGTCCTGCCCAGACATGCGATGTCCTGACTGCTCCGTGCGAGGCCCCTGGGCGTGCGTCCTGCCCCGCTCCCCGGGACCGGCTCTTCGGCCCGAGCCGCGCATCCTGACGGCCCATGGGGCCTTTGTGAGGGCCCACCGGGCGCCGGATCTTGCCAGCACGCCGCGAGCATCCCCAGACCTCCCCAGGCCTCCAGACGACCGCAGATACCCCGAAGACGCCCCAAGAGGCCTCCCAGAGGCCCCTCCAAGAGGACCCCCAAAGGCAAAATTGATTGATTTCACTGGTTTGTTTGAAGGTGTTGGCGTTCTCGCCTTTTCGGCTTCCCGACGCTTCAAGACGGCCCAAGTGGCTCTCAAGACCGCCACAAGACGGCCCAAGACGTCTCCAAGATGACCCAAGCGCCCCTAAGACGGCCCCAGGCAGATTTTTTCGGGTCACGGGCCTCGTCGGCTGTACTCAAGAGTGACCTTTCGCTGGAGTGACCTTGGGTGTGGGCACAATGAGGTCCCCAGATGGCCCAGTGCTACACGATAACGGCGGCTTGCGCGCTCCAGCTCGGCCTCCCCGCGGCCCCCGGAAGTCGCGCACAAACCCGGAGATCCGACGTGGCAAGCAAACGCTGCAACATCGTAAAAAATCACGCCCAGAGCCACGGACCCCATCTTTCTGCGTCATTTTTCGAGCTGGATCGATCTGTGAGGGTCCCAGGGCCCGAGAGAATGCGAAAACGGCGGGCTCGAGAAAATTGAGACGCCATGATCTCAGGGAAAGGTCACCCTTGCCTAGGGCCACTCCTACGTGTGGCCGACCCCGACTTCTCGACCACCTCCCCGAGACCGGTCTCGCGCCCCGAGTCGCCCTTGGGGACGGTCCCGAGGTCCCGAGGCCAGGGCCCCAGGAGGCCGCAAACTACGGAAACTTTACGTTCCGATTTCTGTCGAGGCGCAAGGAGGTCTCATCTGCTCTAACCTGGACCCTCGACCATTCACGACGTCGTCGTCGACGACGACGACGAGGGCGTCGCTGACGATGACGATGACGTCGGCGACGACGACGACGTCGACGACGACGACAACGACGACGACGTCGATGACCACAGTAACATCGGCGACGACGACGACGTCGACGACGACTACGACAACGACGACGACGACAACGACGACGACGACGACGTCGATGACCACGGTAACATCGACGACGACGACGTCGACGACGACAACGACGACGATGACGACGACGATGGCGTTTACAACGACGACGACGGCGACGGCGTCGACGTTGATGTCGGCGACGATGACGACGTCGACGACATCGATGACGACGACGCCGTCGACGACGACAACGACGTTGATGACGAAGACGACGAGACGACGTCGTCGACGACGACGACGCCAACGACGACGACGACGTCGATGACGACGACGGCGTCGACAACGACCTCGACGACGACGACGACGTGGACAGCGACAACGTCGTCGATGACGACGACGACAACGTCGCCGACGGCGTTGACGTCGACGACGACGTCGACGGCGACGACGACGATGACGTACATGACGTCGATGACGACGACGTCGACGACGACGACGCCGTCCACGACGACGTCGATGACGACGACGACGTCGACGACTACGGCGACGACGTGGACGACGACGATGCCGATGACGACCACGACGTCGACGACGTCGACGTCGTCGACGTCACTAACGACGAGGACGACGTCGATGAAGACGACGATGTCGACGTCGACGACGACGACCACGGCGACGACGCCAGCGACGACGACGACGTCGACGACGACGACGACGTCGATGACGACGACGTCGTGGGCGACGGCGATGACGTCGACGACGACGAGGACAACGTCGTCGGTAACGACAATGAGGTCTATGATGCCACGACGACGACGTTGTCGATGACCATGCTGAAGTCGACGACAACGACGTCGTCGATGACGGCAGCGATGACGGCGATATCGTTGATGACAACGTCGACGACGACGCCGACGATGTCGACGCTGCTGACAATGTCGACGACGACGACGAGGACGTCGTCGCCGACGACAAGACGACGTCGATGACGACGACGACGTCGACGACGACGACGATTACGACGACGACGTCGATGACGACTTCGTCGCTGTCGACGATGTCGAAGTCGACGTCGATGACCACGCTGAAGTCGACGACGACGACGACGTCAATAACGACGACGACGACGTCGACGACGATGTCCACGACCACGACGGCGTCGATGACGACAACGTCGATGACGACGACCACGACGATCATGACGACGAGGACGACGACGGCGATGCCGACGACGACGACGATGATGATGACGACGATGTCGACGACGACGACGAAGACGCCAATGGCGACGACGTTGAAGACGCTGATGATGACGACGACGACGATCAGGACGACGAGGACGCCGACGACGACGACGATGCCGACGACGACGTCGACGATGATGACGACGATGTCGACGACAACGACGGTGAAATCGACGACGATGACTGCGTCGATGACGGCTGCGATGACGACGACGACGACGCTGGCGACGCCGGCGACGACGACGACGACGTCGACGACGACGACGTCGTCGACGACGACGATGTCGACGACGACGTCGATGACGACGGTGACATCGACGACGACGACGTCGATGACGATGACCACGACGACAACGACGATAACGTCGACGCCGATGATGACGACGACGCCGATGACGACGACGACATCGACGACGCCGACGTCGTCGACGACAACGATGCCGACAACGACGTCGATGACGACGGTGAAATCGACGACGATGACTTCGTCGATGACGGCGGCGACGATGACGACGTCGACGACGCCGGCGACGCCGGCGACGACGACGACGACGTCGTCGACGACGACGATGCCGACGACGACGTCGATGACGACGGTGACATCGACGACGACGACGACGTCGATGACGACGACGTCGACGATGACGACGTCGATGACGACAACGTCGATGACGACGTCGACCACGACGATGTCGACGACGACAACGAGGACGACATTGTCGACGATGGCGACGACGTCGATAACGACGACCAAGACGACAACGACGACAACGTCGACGCCGATGACGACGACGACGCCGATGACGACGACGACATCGACGACGCTGACGTCGACGACAACGATGTCGACGACGACGTCGATGACGACGGTGAAATCGACGACGATGACTGCGTCGATGACGGCGGCGACGATGACGACGTCGACGACGCCGGCGACGCTGGCGACGACGACGACGACGTCGGCCACGACGACGTCGTCGACGACGACGATGTCGACGACGACGTCGATGACGACGGTGACCGACGTCGACGACGTCGATGACGACGACGTCGAAGATGACGTCGATGACGACAGCGTCGATGACGACGACTTCGACGACGACGACGTCGACGACGAGGACGACGTCGACGACGACGACGTCGTCGACGACGCCGATGTCGACGACGACGACGACGACGACCTCGACGACGACGACGAAGTCGACGACGTCGATAACCACGGTGATATCGACGACACACGACGAGGCCGATGACGACGACGCCGACGATGACGACGTCGATGACGACTACAGAGTCGAAGACGACGACGACGTCGTCGATGCCGACGACGTCGACGACAACGACAACGTCAACGCCGACGACGTCGTCGACAGCGACGACGACGACGACGTCGGCGATGCCGACGACGACGACGTCGATGACGACGACGTCGATGATGATGACGACGTCGGCGACGACGTCGATGACGCCGGCGTCGACGTCTATGGTGACGTCGACGTCGGCTACGACGACGAAATCGACGACGACGACGTCGTCGACGACGACGATGTCGACGACGACGTCGATGACCAAGGTAAAGCCGACGACGACGACGTCGATGACGAAAACGACGACGACGACGACTTCGATGATGATGACGACGTCAATGACCACAGTGAAATCGGCGACGACGACGTCGATGACGACGACGTCGATGACGACGACGACGTCGACGATGACTACGTGGATGACGATGACGACTACGAGGACGACGACGATGCCGACGACGACGACGTCGACCACGACGACGTCGTCAACGACGACGATGTCGACGACGACGTCGATGATCACAGTGACATCGATGAGAACGACGTCGACGACGACGTCGACGATGACGACGTCGATGACGACGACAACGTCGATGACGACGACGTCGACGACGACGACGCCGACGACGACGACGACGTCGTCGACGACGACGAGGGCGTCGACGACGTCGATGACCACAGTGAAGTCGACGACGCCCGACGACGCGAATGACCTCGACGACGTCGACGATGACGACGTCGGTTACGCCGTCGATGACGACAGAGTCGATATCCACGACGACGTCGTCTATGCCGACGACGACGTCGACGACGACGACGACGTCAACGACGGCGTCCAAGACGCCGATGACGACGACGACGACGACGTTGACGACGACGATATCGACGCTGTCGATGATCACGACGAAAGCGACGACCACGATGAAATCGACGACGACGACGACGTCAATGTGTGGCCTCTCCTCCCGAGCGTGTCTCCCAAGGGCTCTGGGGCCCCGAGGCGCGGCCCCTGGGAGGCCGGGAGCGAAGAGGGACTGCCGCCCGG